AACCGAGTTTTAATATCCGTGGTGGGCAGAGAACAGATAGCCCATTGTGCAGCTATGTAATTAACAATAAACAAACAAACTCTAAAGCTCCAGTTCGTTTGCTATCTAATAGTGAATAATAAGTAATATTCACAACTAGATTTATCATGTTAATCTTAAGAGTATTATATTAATTGGGTTTCTATGGGAAGAATTAACAAAATATACCTGTGAACTGCTTCCTCAATATATTTATTAATTAAATGCAAGCTTTCAAGCTTATTTATGAGTTTATTTTGGGAAGCTTATTAATTAATTCTCAAATTAAATGAAATTTGTGGCAGGAATTTGGGTTTAAAAATCTTTCAAGCCACAGAACCGTTTTTGGGGCCTGAAAGATAACCCTGGATGGTCAGAAATTTTTGCTTCTGTTCGCCCCGCGCGGTGAAAAGGTTAGTCAGTATTAATTAATTAACCTGTTAAAATGATATATGATTAGAGGACCTGTAATACTATTGTAATAGAGCGGAGTACAAGCTCACTAAACCTCATAATTTGTGTGTTTGAACTTTTCATTATTTAGACTGAACTGAATGGTAATGTTTACTTATCATATTTTCTTAGGAGAAAGAAAAAAGTTTTACTTTAAATCAAATGTACAAGAAATCGCTATTTAACATACTTAAATGAACGACAGCGACGAAGATTTTTTTACAGAATACGACAGCTTGATGTTGAATGAAATAAATAATTCATGTAAAACTAAAAGTTCAAGTGTGCCTGATTTAGTTAAGCCTAACGTTAATCTTAGGCTTATTACAAACTTCGATATTGAAAACACTCAAAGCAGGCATAAGCATAAATGTAACACTTCTACGCAGAAGACTAAGAGCCCACGACAGTTTCATTATGCATTCAGCAGTGTGGTCGAAAATTCAAATTCTGATATGGTAGGTATGACATTGAGAAGTACTTGTACTACGTCAGTAACTTCTTTGTACAACATACAACTATGGTTGTTAAAAGACATTTAACTTTTCCCGCTTCTCCCCTCCCCAAAAATTATATTAACTTAATTAGGGGTCTTCAGTACTTTTGGTATGATAATAATATTAATAATGTCTCTGCTCATCCTATGTCACCGGCAGTCAAGTAAATTTTGGTGTGTTTAAACAATAAGTGTTACACTTACAGCAACTTTGAGAAGTGATTATATTTATAAACTGACCAAGTAAGGGAATGGAATATTTACGTAATGCAGAGATTTTCGGTTGTTATTAAGTTCGTCTATGTATTGTGTAAGTTATAGTAAAATTACAACGTTACAAGGCCAACACTACAGATATTCAAGTTACAAATATCAATTATTCATAATTCAGTAGGTCTAACATTAACTAAAGCGGAAAAGTCATAACATGGGAATGTGTAATTTGTGCAAGTTTTTAGATATAAATGTAAATAACACGTATGAAAAAAAATGCTATTTTTATACAAACAATATTTTAATGGTAGCATGCTTAGTAGGCCTCTGGTCTCCTTTCTGTTTTACCAATAGTTGAAATTTAACAAATGCTCAGTAAACGATAACTAAATCGCTGTAAGAAATTCGGGGCATGCGGGGGGGGGGGGGGGGGGGGTAATTTAATTTTTGTGAAAAGTAAAATAATTTGAAAACTTTTAGATCTATTTTAAGTGTTTATTAAATATTTGAATTTTAAAGTGTTAGGTGGATCCTATTACCATTTATGGGAGCATAGTGAGGTCTTACTCAGAATTTGTCTAGTTCTGGGCTGTGAATTACATTACCATTACACTAGATGTGTATGACACTAGACATGCATAGTTTAATTTAAAAAGATATAAAGGGAGTCTTAAAGGATTGTACCTTTTTCTGTAGGGAGTACAAGAACTATGAATAACTTGATTTAGGTGTTTAAAATTGGAAAGATTGGATTATCTAGCCATGAACAGTCTCAGTGTAAAATTAAGAGATTGGGATATTGAGCTTATTGTAACTTTAAACTTAGTTAGTCTTGATTTAGAATAGATATTCAACAAAATGATTTCTTGATTAGTTTAGTCAAAGTTTTGGAATTGTATGCCTGATAATGTGGTATACTCTTTTTAATTTTTTTTTTGTTCAGGTATTATTGTTGGCACCTAGTTTTGGTTCCATTGCTTTAGGGGATTGCCTCAGGGGTCAGTGCTTGGACCTATGCTTATTTTTTTTTACATTAATGATATAGGCTATGGACATAAGTAGTAACTATTAAAGTTTGTGGATGACATTCAATTCTTGGGTATTTCTAGTTATATTGAGGATGTATTACAAGATGACTTGGATCAGTTGGTTGTTTGGACAAATATTTTGCAAATGACCTTTAATCTTATGAGTGCAAGATAATGCATTTGGGTTATATAATTTGGATCACATGTTTAATGTAGATGAGAATCTACTCAATATCATGACTGGAAAAAAACTTTGAATAGTGACTTGTAGTCACTCTAGCCATTGAGACAGCACTCTGTCACTGATAGCTAAGGTAACAGAATTTTAGAGTATATTTATAGTCATACTGATTACAATTTAAAAGAGGTCATTATCTCACTTAGAATACTGTGTACAGTTTTGGTCTCCTTATCCAAGAAAGAATAAGACTGATTTATTGGAAAGGGTTGAGAGGCTACTAGGATGATTCTGGGGATAGAAAGTTATGGAGATGGGTTGAGATCTCTAACTTCTTTTCTCCTGAGGAACGAAAGGTAAGATGTGATATCATTGAAGTTTACAAGGTTATCTGGGGGATTTACAGGATAAAGGCCTCTGGTTTCTTTATGCTATAATTTGAAGACAATAAGATGAGAGAACACAAGTTTAAGAGTTGGAAAAGATAGGCAATGCTCCAGTGTAGAGTTGATTAACTTGTACAGTGAGTTTCTGTCAGTAGTAGTGGAGGCTGTAATTTTAACAAGAATTTAAACAGGGAATTAGTAATCAGTAGTCTCCTGAAAACAATGTATGGGCTTAAGTTGTAATTTTTTCTCAAAGGTTAGTGTGCAAGGACTGCCTTAAAGAACCAAGTAGACTCTTGATTGTATGTTATGTTTTCAAAGGTGGAAGGATACCTTGGAGGGTGGAATGGCTTTTTGCCATCTTCTATTTCTGATGTTCATGATTTAATTTGTGTTCAAATGAAGGCTGATAACAAGTGCATTCACTTGTAAAAGCTCCAAATAAAACTAGAATTCAAACAACAGAATAAAAAAGGCAGCTGTTAATGAAAGTGAATGTTGTATGTATCTCCGGAACACTTACAGAAATGGAAATGCTTCATCTATAAAAGTGAACTCTTTTTTTTTTTCTTCAAGTTCCATAACATCCCATGCTTAACTTAATCCTCTTTACATGTTCCCAGTTGTGGGAAGATTGTTCCTTATAATGATACAGAATGCCAGTAGGAATTATTATGATCAGGTAAGATCGGAGTTATTAAACAGTTTATTAAAAGAGACCATGTGTGCATTGTAGCATGTTTTCAATATAGACATTTTTATAAATTTGTATTTTTGATTAGCTGGAAGAAATCTTATGTAATGGGTATAACCTTAATGTCTACTGAGATTTTCTCTAAAGTTCAGGAAACAATTTGAGCCATATATAAAAAGTGAGTCAGACTAGAATGAGTAATCACTGTTAGTTTGTCTGTTACTGCCTGTCCTTTAATATTTATTGTGGAGCCTACTGAACTGAATAATTAATTCAAAAATATAATAACAGCAACTTTTACAGGAAGCAAGTTCTGATTTTAATGATTACAATGTTTTGACCCATAATATTAGGTCACCATCAGGTAAAAGTTACTTGAAATAACTTATCTGATGATGGCCTGATACTGAATTTTTCTACTGGAAAAGTTACTGTTACTGTATTTCTGAATTAATTGTCTGCCAGTTAGATCAATGCTGTAAATATTGAGCCTGCATTTTGATGAGGAAATAGATATGACATTAACAAGGGGAATTTCTGTATATATATATATATATATATAGTGTCATGGCTAGAACAGCTATTAATTTTACCTCAAGTTCATAATATTTTTACACATGTTATGGTTACATTCCATAAATTTTGTTCTTAAATTTTGGATGTTAGCGTACTTACACAGGCGATGCAGTAACCCTTATAATTGGCTTGGGATATTTTAGAATCATATGTAAGTTATTTGCTGAAGTGTGTAAAACATGAACTTGTGGGATGCCCTACTAAGGCTTCTGCCTGAATATAAACGTTGGGTATTTTCATAGTTTTTTTTTCATGTTCCCATTGACTTCATCTTTCTTTCTTCTTTTGATTCTGAACCCCCGCAGTCAGCCTGTAGCCACACAGAATTAGAAGTTAGCTAGCATTTTGGTGATATTACAAACATTTGTATGAATGATAATTGTAATTCTGTTTGATTGTTCACTTATTTTCCTATGCTATCTATGTTCAGTTTATTATTCATTTAACAATCCTGAACATGTAAAAGCTTTTAGCTTTTCTGTTAGACATCAGTGTACTTGGATGTCACAGTTTATTTGTGAAGTTAGATCTATTCATGAAACTTGAAGAAATGTTTTTGTTATTCTTAAGTGACTGAACTTTCCATAATTCCTTTTACTGAATAATTGTAAAATAGATCTAGTCAATAGTAGAAACAGTCACAACATTATGAAAATGTTTGATTCTTGGTTTTCTAATTTCTTTCATAGAAATGTTTGATTGTATTTCCTTATTTTCTATTTAGGGCTCACATAATTTTTTAGCATGCATTTAAAATGCTAAAACTATCTTCAGGTTTTTTTCTTATAGTTACAAATTTGTTTACATGTTTTTCATTTTTATGTTATGTTAGGACCAAGAGATAAAGAATTCTAATATAAGTTTTCGAGGTGGAAGCGAAAGTAAAAGTGATGATGAGGAAAGGGATGACCAGATTTCAACTTCAAAAGAAGATACAGCAGCAGTTTGGGATGATGATGATGAAGAAGAACTGAAATATGGTGCCAAGCATGTTATCAAGTTATTTGTTCCTGTTACATTATGTATGCTGGTTGTTGTGACAACAATAAGCTCTATTACATTCTACACTGAAACAGATGTTTACCTGTGTGTAATTTTTTTTTCATTTTAAGATATGTTGGTGATAAATATAAGCAGTGTCTTTTATACATGTAAATAATGTGGTTAGTGTTTTCATTCTGTTATAAATTCATATATAAAATGTTACTATTGTACATTTATGCAATCAAATCTTCATTATAAAATTGACACATTCTCAATACTAATCATCTGTTTCTCACTCAGCTGTTTTTGAAAGTAAGGTCGAAGTCAAGTAGATCTTAAATTATTTAATTGTACTTGCTAGTGTTATTCCTAAAGATTACTATGGCTTATGATCAGAATATTCTATAATTTGGTTTGTGATTTGTCAGGACTTCATCAAGAAGTGGGCAATACAAAATACTTTTAAAAAAATCACTTTACAATTCCATTTATGAGCAATGTTGTAAAATAATATCTGAATAAGTACTATATCTTCCCACAGTTCAATGTTCTTAAATTTTCAGTGGTCCTATGTTTGCTAAAAGTAACTTAATTTATTCACACAAAATTCTAATAGGTCTGAATAATTCATTTATAGTGATGAAAAAATTTAGTAATACAAACTTGAATGTTAGGCTTAATAAGTTAAAGCTTTGCAAGCCCAGATCCAGACTTGTTCTTTTTTTGTTATTATTATAATACTTCAAGTAGCTGAATCATGCCCACAATTTTCTAGTAATGCTATATCAGTGTCATTTTACCTACATTATTGTAGTTTTATTTTTGCTGTGTTTCTGTTTCATTGTAGAAAATTAATTGTAAATATATGTATATATAATTGCCTTTCTGATTGTGATATTAATGATGAAATGCAGGGTCTACACACCTTTTACTGATCAGACAGTGGACACAGGAACCAAAGTGTGGCAATCCTTTGCAAATGCCCTCATTTTGATGGGAGTAATAGTATGCATGACTATTCTACTTATTTTACTTTACAAGTTCCACTGCTATAAGGTTAGTAGTGTTTCTACTTTACTTTTCATTCTGAAAATTCCTTGCGAGATAATTACATTTATTTGAAACAAAAACAGAACTTTTTTCTAACAAACCTAATTAAGTCAATGTTATAAATTTTGAGAATATTTTTAGTAGATATGAAACTGAATAGATAATTGAAATTGCTTTTTCAAGTAAAATGCCATATGTGTAAACAAGTTTTAAGAACTTGTATTATTAACTCAATATTTTTTAATCACTTTGTATGGATGTTATGCCATCAGATTAACGCCATTTCTAAAATCTCATAGAACTATTGTAAGTTGTAATAGTGGCTTACATGTAGATGTAGTATGAAGATAAAACCCATAGTATGGGTTATTTCACTTTAGTTTTGGTATTACATGTATGTCATGAGATTAAGTTCTGAAAATACATTATGAGTCAATCAGTTGTAGTGCCCTCTTTGATCCAAAGGTTGGCAACCATGTCTTCCAGTTCAGTCTTTTCATTTTTAGATATTCTTTGATATTTAAACATCCTTGTCACCCAGCCATGTGCATCCTTTCTGATCTTTATATCTATTGTATTCTCTTCACCCTTCTAAGATAACTAAATATGGTGTACTATTCAGTCCTCACATTATATGTCCAGCAAATGTCAGTGTTCTCTTGCCTGTTTTCTTCATAAATGAACTTTCACTATTTATTCCAGGAAGAACTTCTATATTTTGGCTTCTGTTATTCCAGTATATTTTCACAAAGCTTGAATGCCTTGATCCTTTTTTACACTTTTTGTGGACATGGTGTAACCTTTTCAACTGTAGGTTAAGACCAAATATAAAAACATTTTAGAAATCATGTTCCTGGAAGGGATGTTATCATTTCTTCTCATGATTTTTTTGATATTTCACAGTGTACTTTTTCCATTCCAATTCTTTTCTAGCATCTACCAACTTTGATAACCTATCTTTCCTAAGTACTTTTATTACTTTACTATATGAAAATGTTATATGTTGGTCTTTTACATTTTCTTGACCAATACTTTGGTCTTCTCTGCAATCATGGATATGCTGTAGTCTTGATGGGTATGGTTTATCTTGGTTATTATTTCTTTAAGGTCCTTCTCAGACTTGGTTATTATGATAACCAAGACTCTGCAATAAGACCCAGTAAACAAATTTAGAAAATGTCTATTTAAGTGATTTGTGCAAGTGCTGTCAAAGTATGATGGATTAAGAATATGCACATGCAGGTGTATCTTTAATTATATTTTTCATAATATATTGTTAGGCCTATTATATTTTTAACACAACATTCCTGATCTAGTCACTTACAGATTTTCAAGAATTAGAAGAGTGTATAATAATAGTATTTCAACCACGCTATATTCATAATAATTGAAAAAGAATTGGTTGAACAATTTTTATCTGCCATACTGAAAATTGTTAAATTTTAAAATTAAACAAGATGTCAGTAAGTGCCTCGACAATTGTTTGTTAATTTTTACTTTAATTCCACATCGAAGATTTTATTTTGAAATATATATATGAACATTGGGAACATTAAAAAGTATTCGTGTACATATAGCATAAGCCTCAGTGTGAAATTTGATTTTGCGTAAGAAAGAAACCTATTAACTAAAACTGACCAGATGATTTTATTGAATTATAAGTATAAAGGAAGTTTTAGTCATTTTGTAGATAACCTAGTTTTACAACTGGATTTTATTGCTCTTTAAAGGTCAGTATCAACTAAGTGCATAAACATTAAAATGAGATTTAATAGTAATTGTTAAATTTGTATTAACTTACGGACATAAAAGTGTTTCTACTCGTAGACCATAATAAAGAAAGCTAGCCAAATAGGCTCCGGGACTATTTATAATTTTATTAAAGGTTTAGCAGTTGATACTGCTCTAAAAATAAATAATTTTAAGAACATATATATTTGTTTATTACAGGTCATTCATGGATGGTTAATTGTGTCTTCACTCATGCTGCTGTTTCTTTTTTCATACATATATTTAGGGTGAGTCCTAACAATATTTATTTGCAGGAGAAAAGTTAAACATTGCACTTTTGTTTATTTTTGTTGGTTTTAGTTCTTACAAATGTCAAGTGTGTATTGAATCTTTACTATGAACCTTTTATATCTACAATGTGTATTAATGCAATGATACAAGTACTCTACAGAAATGAAATAAAAACATTCATTCTTAATGCAGGATAAGAACCTTCTGATGTCCTATTTCTCAAATTTTCAGCCTTGTGGCTTTATTGTCTAAATGTGGTCAGGCATAGCCTATGGTTTGTCTAAAGATAAATGTACTTGCTGCCTCACAAATAGAAAACAAAGCAATCGGAGGAACCAAGTTAGCTTATGTATGACCTAGGGAAGTAGATTATGAGAAACAATACATTTCTCAGTAAAGTAATTTAATTTTCAATGCCCAGAGCTATGATTGATGATATGCACAAGAACTGTTAAATACAATGTATCTTTAGTACTTTTGTAACCTGTTTACATGTTGAAAGAAGGTTTTAGTTTTTTAATAAAGGAATATAGTTTTTTCCTGCAAACTGTATTGATTTCACATTTAAATATCTTCATTGCAAAATTACTGTAACCATCAACTATTTAACATGACTTTTAAAAGAACAACTGTCTAAAAATAGAACCTTTCTACAACTCACTCAAACATTGTGAAATAAACACTCATTCCTGTTAGTTAGTTAGGTGTTACTTTTTTTTTTATCTAGATACAGCTAATCATGATGGATGTGTACATGTGAAATTTTTCCAGTTATTGGGTTAGTGAAACCACTGAATAAACTATGAATATAACTAAACCTATAAGGAAACAGTATTGAATTACTATTAAATGTTTAGTTCTTAATTTTTGGCCCAGAATTACTGATAAAATTATAATGTAATTTATAAAAAATATCTCTTCTTTTTAATATTTTTTCTAAAGGACATATGATTCTATTGTAAGCCTAAATAAGTATTGGTTTATTATTATGTGATTAATTTTTAATTATTAGTCCTTACAAAATGATGATATCAAGTAACAAAACCGCCTTCTCTTTTATTTTTCAAATATACAAATGAGAAAACATACTTAAAGTATTTATTTTGAGCTTACAGTTATAGAGATTTGATTAGAATAGTCTTGATAGTTGGCTAAGAAATAGAATTTAAGATTTATTCAGCCATATCTTTATATAATGAATCAGAAATATATTTGGAAATGCCCCCCAGTGGCACAGCGGTATGTCTGCGGACTTGCAACGCTAGAAACCGGGTTTCGATACCCGTGGTGGGCAGAGCACAGGTAGCCCATTGTGTAGCTTTGTGCTTAATTCCAAATAAACAATATTTGTAACTTTGCAAAAATTATCCATATAATCAAATATTGAAAGTTTATTGCACTTTATTATGCTTGGACAAAAGAAACATGAATATCATCATATAACATAAAGGTGATCCTTCTAACAGAAGTGGGACAGAATTATAATCTAATGAATTAGCATACAGTTCCATGTTCTTTGGAAGAAATAAAACAAAACAACCAGGAAGTACATTGATATTTCAAACAGATTAATTTGGATGACCATATGACTCTGAAGATAGAATAATTTGTCATTTCTGAGATAACTGTTTAACACCAACTTGGTAATGAATTGAAACTAAATTTAAGAGAGAGATAAAATGGGTTTAATGCAATTATGTTAATTTTCAATACTTTAGTTTTTAAACTTGAGGAGGCACCGTGTTTCATTTCTAATATATGAAGTACTATAGATATGTTTTATGATTAATTTTGTTTTTACAGAGAAGTGTTAAGGGCATACAACATTCCAATGGATTATTTTACTGTGGCAATTATTATGTGGAACTTTGGAGTTGTGGGAATGATCTGTATACACTGGAAGGGGCCTTTGTTACTACAGCAAGCCTATCTCATCCTAGTGTCAGCTCTAATGGCCTTGATATTTATCAAGTATCTGCCAGATTGGACAACATGGGTAGTACTAGGTGTAATTTCTGTTTGGGGTAAGTTACAGTTTAGATAAGTGTCTGTTTACTTTCAGGAGTAAGTTATTCTTTAGACTAAAACTAGATACACATATTTCTTTCCAAAGAATATTATAGTTCAGATAAATGTAAATGATCTTGTGATTTATAACATATTTTGATTAATTTGACATGCCACTGGATACATTATAATTAAAATTAGTTTAAGCTATATTTTGTTTTGGTAGTTTTTATATTGGTGTAAAACAATTGTGTGTGGATAAATCATGTTTTATAAATTATTTTTTAACCCTTGAACTGCAAAAGGGATTCCACATGGACTGTCCCATTAATGAACAGAATTAACACAAATTGGGAATTTGAAGGTTAGAATTATTTTCAGAAATGTTCCTCACCTTTCCACAGAATGGTTTGTTTCATGTACATCTCCATTATTCTCCCATTTTATTATAGTGGAGTAGAAGAACCCTTGTTTCCCCAGTACTAAGACACTGGGAAGGTCAATATGGAGAGTTCCTCTTTGAGTCAGTGTAAACCTATTGGTGTGAGACTAAGTGGACAATCAGAAGTTGGGACAAGGGTATCTTTCTGGAAGTTTAATACAGGCCACCTCCTACACTAAGTTGTGACCAGCTAGAGGGTCATGCATTCTTCTCAGGATACAGGCCTGGGATGCTTCATCTTTGCACATGTTTATTCTTTTAAGTTTGTCACATAAGTATTTTGTTCCTACTATGGCTTGGTTTATTGCTCCAGCCACACTACACATACATGGTCTGCCAACCTCCTAAGATATACAGGCATTTGAGCAGCTTTTACATTCCACCCCACTTTGTGACACTTTAGCATCATGCAGGAGGTTCTTTTGACTGTACCTTTCTGCACTGCCAACTGTATTGGGCAAAGAGTATTCCTTGCTTGAGATGGATGAAATCTCTATGAGTTTTCCTTTTCTGTTGCTTTATGCTCAGAAAGGAACTCATCATTTTTGGTTTCTTTATCTATACTAGTCTTTCCATCATCGTCTTAATTGCACATGCCAATAAACTTTTCAGAAGTGGTGCACGGTATTAGCTACATGTTCTGTGTAGAGGTATTTTTCTGAAATGTATATTTAGTTAAAGAAAATATTAATTTTTAAATTTAGATTATTTTAGTTATGTGGTTTAATCCTCACCTCATTTAAGAATACACTGCATAAATTTATGAGTATTATTACTTGTTTAATGATTGATAAATTTAAAACATTTAAATATTAATTTTTCAGATCTGATTGCTGTATTGTGTCCAAATGGACCACTGAGAATACTAGTGGAAACGGCTCAAGAAAGAAACGAGCCAATATTTCCAGCCCTTATCTATTCGTGTATGTTTACTATGCATTAGTTAAGTCAGTTATTTTACATTTCTGAAACACTATTCTTGTTAGTTTAATTGTTTTGCACATTTTTAATAAAATTAATAACTGAACATTTTATCTTTTATGTATCTTTATTTACTTATCAAAATGTGAAAGTTCATTACTGTAAGCTATCTTCTAATATGTTTTAACTGTTTGAGGACTGTTAGAATAGTAGTTGTCCTCTTTTAGTCCTGTTGGATCTGATACTTGTACCAATTGTTTAGATGTTTTTAGTCATTACTATATTTAAAAATGTATGAAAAAAATGTATAAACGTTTTTTTAATGCTATAATAATGTTTTTGTACATGATATAGTGCTTCACAATAGATTTATTGTTCCCCCCCCTTCCATTGCCTTTTTTATTTTTCTATTTGACAAATTTAAAGTAATAATGTTTTTGAAAACTTTTAGGTGATGAATTATTTCTAATTTTTTATTATACCTTCTGAAATCTGTACTTCTTCATGCACCCTCTTTCCCTGCATATGACACAGCTTTAGGAAATACTGAAAAACATTTAAAATGCTTTTTTTTCAACTTTTTTTTGCATATTTGTACTGTTTGATGCAAATGAAAAAACTTTTATGGTCTCAGCTCTTCAGCTATGTAAAGTTTAATACACTTCATACTCTTTTGTTTTATTTTATTTTATAATTGAGCCATGTTACTCGTTTGTCACATGGTGACAATGTGGTTTTGAAGTTCTGTTTAGAAGAGATGAAAACATCAAGACAATATAAATGTCTATGCTTAACTCCATGTGAAATGGTTGAGAGCTTCCGTTAACTACTGCTTGATGTTTTATTATTGTTAAAGTATCTAAACGTGAATGCTGTACATATGTTTATAAGTGAATAAGGGCTCATAGCCAGCTAATTACAAAAACAAATTGGGCTAAGCGACAGTACAGGTCCAAAGAAGGGATGTTTGGATCTTCAAGCTCACCTCACTTAAGTACATTAATTTTATGGCAGTTTTTGCAGCAAATGTATTTTTCAAAGGGGCAAAATTAAAATATAAACAAATAATATGTTTAGAAATATTGAATAAATTCACACAACTTGTATATATGTGTAAAATGAATCATTCTGAGCAAAAGTAGAAATAGTATTTCATTTTAGTGATTTGTTTCAGTAGTTTTGATGAGAGTATATCTGATTTATGTACATACAAGAATTAAGTATGATGATCTTTTAACAAAAATAGACTCAAAAGTTATAGTTTTAGTACAACAAAACTTGAGTCTGTAAACTTAGAAGATTTTATAAATGAAGTGAAAAGAAAATATGAAGTTTAGGAAGTAAGTAATTTTTCTTTTTTGAATACAAAACCATTGTGTCATAGAAAATACCTTTAAGTTTCAAAATATTAAATAACAAAATTAGGCCAAAAACACTGATTTTATTACAACTAACTAGAAAATATGTCAAAGTTACTGCTTATAGATGTAATAGTTTTAGTGAAACATAAATGTTTTTGTAGAGCATTATAAAATGGAGTTGACTTAGCTGGAATTGAGAGGGTTAAGTTAATATTAAAATATATTTTATTGTGATTGTCTATTTAATCATTTATTCAGCCATTTTTTACAATTCACAGAAAATTAGATAGATTTTTTTTCTGTTTTGTTTAGCTGCAGTGGCTTGGTGTGTTATGGCAGATAAGGACTTCACTAACAATCAGACTGAACAAACACAAAATAAAATGGTATCAGGTAAGTTGCAGAAAACAATGTGGTTGTAGAATGTATAATTAACAATACAGTGAATTGCCAACATTGAGCTTTACATTGTGACCTCTTTTTGTACTCATTTAAAGTCTTTATAGTTTTGATACTACTAACTTTTAATATAGTGTGTATATCTTCACAAAATTTGGCAGACTTTTAGTAAACATTATAGGTCTTTCACATACAAAAAATCGTATTTTTTAGTGATAAACTAAAAAAAGATTTGTCTGTGAATATATCGAGAATATATATTTTTTTTACTACTTTGCGTGCAAAGTGATTTTTGTGCTAAAATTAAAAATACTTTTTTTCATTTCAAAAATCTCAAATTTCATTCGTGTAATCTCTAAAACCTAAATACATTTCAAATGTTTGTTTTCAGTAAAACTTTATATTTTATCTGTTATTTTCTCTACCATAACTCTATACAAGATTGGTCAATTTGACTGACCTCATAACCACCAAAAAAATAAATTTAAATATAAATTACCAATTTTTCTTTCTAGAATGACTTCAAATTGTAACATGAAACTATATTTGTTTATCCTAAGTAACTTTAAACTTGTAACAGTACACATCTATTTACTTACATTTTATTGTTTTATTATAAGTTGTAAATCACTTAGGTAACATGGAGATCACGTTACGTTATCAAATTACATTACTCACAAGCTACTCCAAACTGCTTGTGTGCAAGCCTTGTGAAACATTTTGAATTTATTATTATTTATTTTACTTAATCTAACCTAAAGAGGTCCCTATTTTTACATTTTATTTACTTTTATAATAATAAATAAAGAATAAACATGAAAAACAAGAAATAAAGTACTTACCCTGGTCTTCTGTTTTTTTGCTGTTGAGTATCAATGACATTTAACCCTACTTTTTTATTATCCTAAGTTCCTTTGTATATATCTTTTTCTCTGATTTTAAGTCTACCAAGGCTGAGCCAAAGTTAGGGATCAGTTAAACCTGCTATGCACATATGCATTTAATTCATGTTAGTTGAAGTGTGTAACCATATCCCATAATGAATGTTTTATTTTGAGTAGATGTGATATGTAGTACTTATGTAGTGGGATGCTATAGCTTTCACAAGAGTTTTTAGGAAATCTCTGAACCACCCATCAATCCTGCTGGTTATGTACCATTTGTTTTACAATGAATTTAATAAGGATAATATACAAGTATAATTTATAAACCTATGGATTAAGATATAAGAGGGATATGACTGTTTGTCAGTCTTGTAATCAACGTGTGCATTTTGTTTTTTATTTATGTACTAATTATAGAATAGTTTGTGTTATATTTTATTATTATGGATTAAACAAATTCATATATAGCAGTTCAAAAAAGTAATTTAAGGAGAGGCAGTAAAATTTTAACAAAAATATTGTTTTTGTTTCAGAGTTCTGCATGTGTTGCATGGGTAAACTTGCAAAGTCATTTAGTAAATAGTATTCCATGATGGAGGGCCACTCATTGACAACATTCACACATTGTATAGATCTGGCTAAATGGTTTGTAAACTCATTAATAGTACTTTAGATAAGTTGTGTATCCATTTTTGTCTATAAAAACACATTAGTATTCACTGATAGATATATCATTCTTTGTGTATTCATCAGGTCAAAAGAAACAAAACCCATATCAATAATAAAATAAGCACAAGGCATTGGAAATCATTCTTACCATAAACTGATTGATAAAGCATATAGCAGTTACAGGCTTGCAATTACCTGTAGTTCAGGGTTACTGTTCAACTGAATATTATACCAGTTTAATTCTATCAAATATTGTTAACAAAGTGCGTACTGTTTTGATAATATGCTGTAATTGCCTCAGATGGTCCTTAATAGGATATACATACAGAAATAAGAAGAGCAAGCTCCTAGTACACATAGCAAAACACCACCAAATATCAGGTGTTGGATGATGACAAATGTCTCTGAACTCAAAAATATGCATTTTTTTATCACTGAGTTTTTTATTGTCTTCATTGCAGTTTATTTCAAGAAGTAAAATACTCATTATATCAACAGCTTATCTGAAGCTCTGCATTAAAACCTGCATACATTGTGTACGAGACTCAAATTGCCAATACTTTAGTTTATAAGTTGGCTTACATTTGTTTTCAGTAAAATTGCAGCTTGATATATAATGAAGAATATAACATATAATGAAGAATAATTAGATTTGAAATCTTTCTGAATCAGTATCGAGGTTGCTAATAAAATAAACATTTTATTTCTGTAACTTTCGTAGAATAATCATTAATAGATTAGAATTACTTGGATCAAACCCCTCCCCCAGTACTCGACAATAAGTCAACAGTCTTATGACCTAAAAATTGGGCTTTGATACCTGTGATGGGCAGAGTGCAGATAGCCCATTGTGTAGTTTTGTGCTCAATAATGACCAAACTAGTTGGGTGAGTATTTTTAATTTCTTGAAGATAATGATGGCCTAAAATACAAGTACAAAAACTCGTGACATTTTTGTGTGTGTGTGACAATGGTGAAGGAAGTAGTACTTTAATGAAAACATGCTACAGTTAATATAGTATCTTTCAGATGGAGAGTCTTCACATTTTGAGAAGGAAATGATAGCTCCTAGGCAGAATGATTCAGACAGGCAGAGACTGCCAAGTGATGAGCAAGTAGTTACCCTACAATCTAGTCAGCAAGATCTCGAGGAAGAAAACTGGGTCATCAAAGATGTTACTAATGAGGATGCACAGAATAAAAAGGAAAAACGTAAGATTATTTGGTGGCTATGAAAGATAGATTTTCAATAGAAACATTACCACAAAAAGAACTTTATAATTCAGTTTTTTTACAAAGTTTTTTTTAATCAACAAACAGAAGATGCTGAAATGTACCACTTTGGTTTAAGATCATTAAACATTTCCAGGTGGGGGATATTAATGATATCCCCTTTTTCAGAGTGGAAATACAAAACCAAATTGTATGAAACTTTGATTTTTCGATACATCACTACTATGAAGGCTTGGTTTGGTCTGAAGTTTCATTCAGTGGTCGTGTCCAGGGTCACTGATGAGGAGTGGAATTCTCCGAAACTAGTCTGGCCCACAGACACACACCTCAATGCAAGAATAGGCTATTCTAAGCTTTTACTTGTTGTTAAACAAATGTTTAAACAACTCTGTTCAACTATGTATGAAACATAGTATAAACTTTCTAAATTGTGTCTAGGTCCTGCTTAAAGAACTTCTATAACTTGATTTATTTTTTCTATTATTTTTTTAGGTCGTGAAACTTCTAAAATTTTGTTGCAATATACTGAAATATAAAATATTGAAATATAAAAAATCTTGTTTATTTATGTGCAAAAGTTTTTCCTAAGTTGTTATTACTTGTTTCAAAAGTATCCTATTATATATTGTTAAGTCTGATGGCTAATTAGGAAGTGAGAATTCAAGCTACAGAAAATTTCTAACTTGTTATTTTTTTTTTACTGAAATGATAGAAGTTATTGAGTCAAGGTTCAAAATTGAAATAGATGACAACTATAGAAAAAATCTTGAAGGACTAACACAACCAAAATAAAAAACACTTACTGTATAACAACCAAATCTAAACACCACTGTGGTAAACAACTTCAACTTAAAAGTTCTAACTGATAACGAAAAGAAAGTTCACACCTTGGTCCTGAATTTTGCCGTTCCTTCAACTAAACTACCTGTAATACGTGGCTCTAAATCTTCCAGAATCTATAGCAGAACAATTCAGATGTCCAACATATGCTATTTTCAGGTAGGTCAAAAAATCCAACTCCAAACTTTCCAGACAAGAACTTTACACTCTGAATTATCTAAAATGGAATAACACCATCAAGATTCTACCTGCAAACAAAGGAAACAGCAGGAATCCTGCATGCCAATAATTATTATAGAAATATCAAAGAGTTATTAGACAGTTATCAATACAAAAATCTCAACAATGAAGTACCTATGACCCACAAATCCAACATACCTCTTACACTGATCATAGTGCAATGAACACACCCTCCCATCACTTAGATGCCTTTTTGGTATCTGTCCTGTCATCACAACAGGGTAACACTGAACACCATAGCTCAGCAAAGTTCACTGAACTTTTTGGAGATTGACACATCAGTCCACAAAATCTTATTGTCAGTTTTGATGTTACAGGCTTTTTACTAACATTCCAACCATAAAACCTCTATGCATCGCCAAACAAATACTGCTGAATGATGAGACTAACAAATAGAACTGACATGAAAATAGATACCATTATGGATGTAAGTACTGTTTGCCTACAGTCCACCTACTTTTAAAATACACCTACAAGTTCTTTAAACAAAGATGGCCTTGCCACAGAATCACCAATCTCTACAGATAAGAAATCCAGTTTTTAGAGATGCTACACTGATGACATGAGTTATCTGACCCCATGGTCATGAAAACATACTTGCCTTCCCACAACACCTAAACTTTGTAGACATCAGAATCCATTCTACCATGGATATAGAGAGCCTCCCGTTCCTTGGCATTATCACCAGCAAACAGAATGACAAACTGATTACTGTCATATGCTGGAAACCAGCTCATACGTATATAATTACATGTCCAGTCACACCATCCACCTTCTGTTAAATGTAGTATTATACAGTGTCTGCACACCAGAGCCAAAACAACTGATAAATAATCAATTGAAACAGACTCCAAAACTATCATACAGTATTGTAAATATAATGGCTACCCTTTCAGTTTTGTCTCTAATAGTAAAAAAGCCAACTGTTACAAAAACCAAATCTACTATAATTTACCAGTTTTATGTGCAGAACTTAAGAAATTCAACAAGAACATGTGATGGAAAACTTAGCAACAAGTTGGATTCATCCTTGTCAAGACTAAACAAAGAACAACTCATGACAAGAATAAAATTGTCATTCATAAAATAATGTAAAAGGAATTATATTGAAGAGACTGGTAGGCATTTTGGGGCAAGAACGAAAAGAACAAAACTGCATGAGACTAATGAAACCACAGGGTTCCTCCCTGGCTGAAAATGCATCATTAATTATACAAAAAATACTGGGACAATTACAGACTCATTCTCAAAGAAGTTTTGGAAAACAAGAAAATTCAAGGAATCTTTCTGAACTAAAACACTGAAGCCCTCACTAAATAGACTCGCGTGGCAGAAACCAGCAGTTTATGGTTACCATTGGTCACCAACTCACATGTTCCACCACCTACAACCAAGATCCACCAGTAAATCATAACACCTGAAATGTCATCTAATCTACTTGTGTTACATTTTTAGATCATTACACCTCCAAGATTTTCCTGGTAATTGTCGCCTTAAACTAGGCAGTTGTTGCTCATTTTACCTTTGTTTCATTCTCCATGAATAATTGCCATCTGTAAAAGTATAAGGTATATTATCTTTGTGTTACTTGTGCTTTTGTATTTATAAAGAGTTAATGCCATGATAGGCTTTCATCTGCTGCATTTGAAAATCTATTGTAAAAACAGTATTTTTCATGAAAAACCCAACATTTTGTATTTTTACTACAGAAGGTGTAAAGCTAGGACTTGGAGATTTCATCTTCTATAGTGTTTTGGTTGGAAAAGCCTCTTCTTTTGGAGACTGGAATACAACTATAGCTTGCTTTGTTGCCATTTTGATAGTAAGTTGAATTTTATCTTTTTTTTTAATTAATATAATTATTTGTGACATTTGCTTTTTATTTTGAATATTTTGTTCATTGTACCTGTCACTCTAACAAGCTGAACAGACTTATTATAGGAATAAAGCAAATTTCTTTTTTAGCACAAAAGCATGATCTCTGTATTAGTGATTATTGGTTACATAACCTTTCAGTTTGTATCAACTTGAAATGCACATTTTACTTGTAGTATGATATTAGCACTGTATTACATTTAAACCTGGACAGAGGTAGAATTGAAACATTAACCTTGAAATGAAGTTTGTGTTTGTTAGATGAAAGCTAAGCCAAAGTTACCAAAAACAATAAAATATTGGCTTATTAGCATGGGGCATATGAACTTGATTTAAGCTCCATTCCTTTTAGTTAAATTCTTATTATTATATGCATTTTTTCTTATTAGATCATTTAAATACAGCAGTGTGAAATGGTTCCCATGTTGTATTTTAAGTGGACAAAAGGTAAATTTCTTTATCACATAAAAATGAAGTACTTATATTTTGAACAACATAAACATTAATCCTTTATGCTGTTTATTGTATGGTTGTACTTTCTTCCTTGAATGAAAACTCCGATTCAGTTAGTTGGATTGGTTTTAAGGTTAAACTTTCCTAGTTATTTGACAATTCAATTATTTATTATTCTGATCAGTTTCAGACAAAGCTTATTATTATTTCTGATTTGTTTCAAAAGAATTATTTACTCCTTGAACTGATCAGCATCAAATGTACTTTGTTCTTCAATGAATGTAGAGCAAAGTTAATTTTGTATTCAAGACCACAACACTATGAGGTAGTACAAGAGAAAGTGCTAAATACTTGCTTCATAAAACTTGGTAATCGTTGAACTTTATTATATTTTCATATCTGTGTGTATGTGCATCAATTTAAAACAGTATGCCACACCTTCACTTTCTTTTTTACAGCTGTAAGAGTAAAATTTTGTATATGAAGTGTATATGTAGTATCTCAAATGATAAAAGTTTGTTTGCCAGGAAGAGTTCTTTAGTGAAACTTTAAACCAACTAAACTTAAATGCTTGCATTTTAAGAAACTTTAACAATAAAAATAAATTAAGTATATGCTCAGGTTTTGTTGTATTGAGAACCACGAAAATTTTATTTTATCATGTTTAACTTCTGCAAACATAGCAGTTCCCATTTAATCTAGAAAATTAAGTAGGTTATTTGGGAAGTTGTTTTGTGATTTAAGAGAGAGAATGAATGGAACATAAGTAACATTTTTATCTAGCATGAGATTGGTTTATTGTTCATATTTAACATCTCACTGACATGATACATTTGGAAATCTTCATATGTTTATTTACTTTTTGTGGTGAAACCAAAAAGCATGACTTTTCTACAAGGATGCAGATACTGTTTGAAAATAGTTCTTGTATTTGTTTTGGTGTACTTATCTGTAGTAATTCAAATGACAAGAACATTTGGTGTGATAACATTCACAATATTTGTCCTTCAATACAATGGGGTAGGAGAAAGTAATGAGTGTCTATTGTATGATATGGGAGCTGTGACATTTATATATGAAATTAAACTTTGTTACCATATAAGCCAAAAAAAGCTAATGGTATAAGTTTGTTGACTGCTGTTAGTTTCCTATGCTAGTGAACATTTTTATTGGTAACATAACCTTTTTGAATGAATCTTGTGAAAGTAAGTGGATTTTTGCTACAAAAATATAAGTAGTATTTTTTATTCTTAACTTATTTTTTCTTCATTTTCCAGGGTCTGTGTCTCACATTACTGTTGCTTGCTATTTTTAAGAAGGCTTTACCAGCATTGCCAATCTCCATTGCCTTTGGTCTAGTATTTTATTTTGCTACTAGTTCAGTTGTTCGTCCATTTGCCGATAGTCTAGCAAGTGAGCAGTTATTCATTTAGTGTTAACTTATAACTGTTTAATATTTGAACAATTTATGTTACTTGTTATATTATTTCTCTGATTGTAATAACTAAAATATGTTTTTGTGTGACATTTGCTGGAATCATATCTTGTAAACCAGTAGCAATTAAAAATTTGTATTTTTAGTTATGAAGAATTGAATGCAAAAATAAATTGTGTTGAAAGACATTTTTACCTGCACTTTATTCAAAGACTACAAAGAATATTTCTTAGTTTTTTTTATTTTGGTATGTTGAAGCAAATCTTATTGTCATTTTTTTTCTCTATTCCACAATAATCTGTTTTAAATTTTTTAGATTGTATAACACAGCTAAATTACAAGAAAATTAATACTAAGAAAATATTTTAAGACTTTCATATTTGTTCCTCTAACATTTCATTATGAATTAAAGAAAATAGTTTTCATTTTGATGGGGGAAAAAGATGAATATACACTATAATATGTAAATCTTAGTTCCATTATGGTTAGTAATATTTATAAATCTCCATCATGTAATAGATTTTAAGACACTTATTTTCACCAGAATGGCAAAATAAAAATGGTATTTTTTAGTGTAAGGCAGTTCCCTGATGGGAAAGCAGTAAGTATATGGACTTAGAATGCTAAAATATGGGGTTCAATTCCCCACAGTGGGCACAGCAGATAGCTCAATGTGGGTATGCCCTAAAAAAACAAATTAAAAAGCATAAGACATGGATTCTGTAGAATCCTGCATCATCAGCTTCAGAAATTAAGATAAACATATTGACAAGTTTATTTTCAAGTGATAACATCTGAAGTATATTTTCATAAAATATTATTGTGAGTTTGATAAACCGTCCTATTAATTATTGTTTAAACCTTATACAGTAGAACCTCAATTAATGGGCACTGTGCCATTAAGGGCAGACCTTTTTCAGTCTCCTTCTTTCTTTTACTATTTGTAACCAAAATAAATCTTGCAATAATGGGCACTTCGATATTCCATGTTAAGGGCAGTGTCTTTAGTTTTGTTCTCTATATGGGCACTCAGTAAAGTGGGCAGTTACTTTTTGTATGCCTGTACGGTATACTGCTAAATTCCAAACATTCCCACCAGAAGGATGACAATTATTCAAACACTTGCGATGTTTATTGGATCACCTCCAAACCATATACTGTAATAAACGTTTTCACAGATTCAAAGTGCAATATTATTACTCTGGGGAACTTTTATTGTAAACACTGTAGGATACATAAGCTGATAAATTCCACATTGTGTTCTCGGAGCAGGGGACAAGTTACTTTTTTGTATGCCTGTACGGTATACTGCTAAATTCCAAACATCCCACCAGAAGGATGACAATTATTCAAACACTTGCGATGTTTATTGGATCACCTCCAAACCATATACTGTAATAAACGTTTTCACAGATTCAAAGTGCAATATTATTACTCTGGGGAATTCTTATTGTAAACACTGTAGGATACATAAGCTGATAAATTCCACATTGTGTTCTTGGAGCAGGGGACAAGTTGGATTATTTCTGTGCGCATGCTTTGTTGCTTTTGAAAGTATCGTATTACAGTATTACGTAAACAGTCTACTGACACAAGCAGTTAAATAAACAAAATAAATGTGAAATGTTTAGCAGTTTAAACACCAAAGAGAAGTACTTTGAAACTTTGTGACCAAAGAAAAAATGGAACAGCTAATCCACTCCCAAAGACTTCCTGTTGAAAACACTCCATGTCATGGCAACGTACAACTCACGAACACCCATGTCCTGCATACAGCAAAAAAATTGTGGGGGGCCTTGAAATTCAGAAATTTAGTACAGTCAATAAGGAATCCAACTTTGAGTGGCTCATTTTTTAAATTAAAAGCACTTGCTGTAGAGGGCATTTGTTGAGTGTAGTATTAATGTGAGTAGTGCATGAAACAAAGCAAAGGAATACACTGTTAATCAAAGCTAACGAAAATGAGATCATCTTTACTACTTGGTACTTAAAACCTGAAAAACTTAATATTTTATTAACAAAAATTATGGTTTTAAGATTGTAAAATTCATAGCATAATGGGATTTGATGAGGATTCTTGGTACTTTTTTGTGACAATTATGGTAGTTTCATGATGTTTCGAGACTTATTTTCTCCAGAGTTGTAACGAGTAAGAAAATTAAGAATTATGCCACAATAGTGAATTATATGAGGATCAAAAAGAACTCGCACGTGCAACTACAATTATGAGAACTAACAGTTTAACACAGCTTATGATAAAATATGTAATTCATTGTATCTAAGGTAGAGCTAGTAACACTTCAAGATATTACAAACTATTATTATTCATCATTTAACAAAAATGATGGAAAAATTATATATCGTATGGTAGTATTTCTAAAAGTGTAGTTGGTGAGGATCCTTCAAATGGTCTGTAGACTGGTCTAAAATGCAAGTCACTGATGTGCAAGGCCATATGAGAGACCTGGTTTTTAACCAGACATTATCTCGTTGATATCCCATCAAAAGCAGTGCCATTCTTTCCATTAATTCTGATGAGTTTTTGCAGTAGCAAGTGAAAGTGGATGGGGGTAGAATTGGAAGGTGGTCTGCTGGGTCTTTTGCCCCACCGAAATCATTCGGAGATGGAAAAGTTTGAGAACCACTGTTGTATTGAAATGACTGTTTGATAATCTTCTAAACTGCCATAGATACTAATTCCTCAATTAGACATCTAAAATAATTTTAAATAAAAGTATAGAAAAGTTTTCAAGGCTATTTTGTAGGTTTATATTCAAATGTATACATGAAACAATTTGCCATTATGTTAACAATGAAATAGAATTTTGAAATGGTGTATTTAAGTGTTTTACACTCACAAAAAAGAAACCTATCATTCTATAGGTATTTGAAGAACTTGTAGCATTCCGGCAAAATTTAATTCTTCGTATTGTTAGCCGACACTAGGCAGCTGGTACCTAATTGAACAGAGTTGTTTACTGATGAGGAGTGGTATTCTCCGAAACTAGTCTGGCTTACAGAACCCCCCCCCCCCAATGAAAGAATAGACCATTCCAAGCTTTTACTTGTTGTTAAACAAATGTTTAAACAGCAGAATCAAACTTGGCTTAATGTTGGTAGGCCAATACCAGAACAATTAATGTTAATCTGCCTTTGTGGATATAATTTGGTGTCCTTGTGGCATAAAATAAAACACTTTTTTTTTAAATGAATACACACATGTACTGGAACAAAAAGCCTTTGTGCTTGGAGTATTGTTTGTTTAATGTTCTATATCTGAAGGGTACTCTTTTTTTTTTTCTCCCAAGCTCACCTCAAATCACCAGTTTCATAACATTTATTGAATGTATATCGGACATTCCAATTAAAACTATTAGATAACATTCAGCCATTATCACAAAATGTTAAAACTATTTGATTTGCAATAAAAGACCTTTGAGTGACTGTTTTGACAAGCAGTTTTTCCAGCTCACTGCTGTAGAATAAAAATGGCCACTAGGGGTCAGTGCAAGAAGAGATTCCACTGCAGCTGAAAAAACATCATTCCATTCCTATGAATGGTAGCTTTAAAATTACAGTTATAACAAGTGTAATCTTATGTGAAGTTGTAACTATATTAAGCCCAAATGTAACTAGACAGGTACAATATAGCATACACACACATTTATATTAATTTTTAGAGAAATACAGATTTAATGAGTTAGAAGTAATTTCTAACACTAAGAATATTGGGAATATTATAAGTTGTTTATGATAATTAAAATTGCAAAACGTTATGAAAATGTGCAATCATATGAAGTTTATAATTTTACTATGATAATCAAGGTAAATCACTTTAATATTTTAACTTAATGGTGGGAAGATGACTTCAGAAAATGTTTGAGAAATTGTTATTTTATTCCTTGAATGATAATAGTAAGAGCCTCCAGGATGGCATAATAATAGTAGAAAACCTAGTCAGAAATTTTGGAATAATAATTATAGCCTCCAGAATTGCATTATAACATAAGGAAGTTTTACAGAAACTTTGGAATAATAATTATAGCCACCCAGAATTACATGATAACATTAGGAAATTTTAAAGAAACTCTATAGCCTTCAAGTTTACATGATGATATTGGGAAGTTTCGAGAAACATCAGAGTGACGATTATACCCTACAGGATTGATGACTGTAGGATACACTCTTAAGGTCATTACAAGGTAGAGAATAACTAAAAGAATGGTTCTGATTTATGAGATTTTGTGTCAAATTTGTATTTCATAAAATATCTATTGCCATTAACTGCGGTTTTAGAAAGGAACACCAAGATTTGTAAAATACCCAAGTTTCGAGCTTTGTTAAAAGAGTGGTGATGTTATTATGTGGTTTAAAAATCAAAATATCTTTACAAAAAAAAAAACTTCCTGGTGACCCAATGGTAAGTTTGAGACCTGTTAAAAAGTATGGTTCAATCTGTGCTGTTGGCACAGTGCACGTATCCATTGTGCAGCTTGATGCTTAAAACAAAATTAAGAACGATTTGGATCTACAAAATGTTGCCCTCCAGTGGCTCAGTGATAAATCTGAGGACTTATAACTCTCAAAACCAGGCTTCGATACCCGTGGTATGCACAGATAGACCATTGTGTAGCTTTGTGCTCAACTACAAACAAGTTATAAAATATTACCGAGCATAAACGGCTAATGAGAATAACAAGAAATACTTTTTTTCTTTCTTAATACATGTTATGAACAAGGTAGAATAAGCAGAGGTTACCCTTTTTTTACACGTGCCTTAAGAGCCAAGGGGTGTCTTTACACTACAATTTGTTTAATATTAAAAGTAAGTTCAATCCAGAAACTCCCCAGAGAGGGTGGTTTTGGACCTATGTCTTCGAGACAATATTCGTTTGTTAATTGATAAATATTTGTGTGTAATATCGCATCCTCAAGTCTCCATACTAGCTAGTACTAAGGTCTACCCGCTGGGAGTAAATTCAGTATATATCAATGAAGCCTCATTCTCAGCATCATTAATTAAGCAATTGCCAACCTTTTATGCTTCCGCTATCACCTTTTTATGTTTAGCTTTCAATTGATATACAAACGATTTCAACTGTAGGGAAGGTCGAAGCATCACGATAGTCAGCAGTAGGATGAGCAGACAGGAACACTTTGAAAGCAGCTACAGGCATAATATTGTACT